ATTGTAGAAAATAATTGTTTTAATATTTAATCTGCAGAACCCACCTGTGATTCCATTTTATTATTCTTGATCACGGTATATGGCAATATATAATATATTCTTCTAATCTATCAAATCTTAAAAAACACATGGCAACAATTATCTTTTTCTATATAGTGTATTTGCTTAGATAATTGCTTATAGTAAAATAAAATCATTCTCCGCTATAATTAGTTTCTATCCATCAGGATCCAGAACCCTTCTCCGGGATCAAAAGCTGTTCTCCGGTATTAGAAATCCTTCTCCAGGTTCAAGAACCCTTCTCCAGGTTCAAGAATTCTATCTTTCCGGTTAAAGAATCTTTCTCCAGATTCAAGAACACTTCTCTAGGTTAAGGAATTCTTCTCCAGGTTCAATAATCCTAGTCTGTATTCTCCAGGTTTAAGAATCCTTCTCCGTATTCTCCAGGTTAAAGAATCCTTCTCTGTATTCTCAAGGTTCAAGAATCCTTATCTGTATTCTACTGTTTATAGAATCCTTCTCTGTATTCTCCAGGTTATAGAATCCGTCTCCAAATTCTCCAGGTTCTAGAATCCTTCTCTGTATTCTCCAGGTTTAAGAAACCTTCTCTGTATTCTCCAGGTTCAAGAAACCTTCTCTGTATTTTCCAGGTTCTAGCATCCTTCTCTGTATTCTCCTGGTTCTAGAATCCTTCTCTGTATTCTCCAGGTTTTAGAATCCTTCTCTGTATTCTCCAGGTTCAAGAAACCTTCTCTGTATTCTCCAGGTTCTAGAATCCTTCACTCTTTTCTCCGGGTTCAAGAATCCCTCAAAATAATTATCCTGGATTAAGAATTCCTTTCCTGGTTCAAGAATCCTTCTCCTCATGCGCATGTTTTTGGTAATTTTCCAATTTACTCTAATGAGCATGATTAAAAATTCTTTTGTTTCCAAGTTTTTATTTTGAAATTCCTAATTTTCATCATTAAGACCCCCCCCCCTTCCCCTCCTTATTACTGTTTTAACCCCCTCCATCCTGGACTCCTTATTATCTGTCCGTGCTCCCTACAAGATGAATTCACTGATAAAAGTTTAATTTGTATTTCACGATTTATGAATTCGACTCCTCCTCCTTTCCTTAGTTCCTCCCTCGGTCCACCTCAACCCTCACATATCGGTTAATTTAGGAATTTTGTATTTTTAAATCTTTTCTTTATCAACTCATTTCTCATGTCTGGTTAGAGCTTGGAGTCAGACATTTCAGTCAAGGTTTTAACATTTTTCTGATGTAAACATTCTCTGATAGTTGGATATAGTCACACAGAGAGTCACACTCTAATGCTCTAATGATCCTTAAAAAAATGTTTTAGATCTTTAATATTTCAAAACTTTATTTATTCTTAAAAGGAACTGGGTTAGTCGCCCCAAACTAATTCTCTAATCCTTATATTCTTGCAACTTGATATCTTATTCCGTTGAGATTTCAAACCATGAATTAGAATAGATTAAATATTCAAATTTTTAAGAATCGATTTAAAGAATCACAATATCAGGATGCAAAGATATAAACATAAAATAAGAGTTTGCGGACCATAATGAGCGTAAAATCGACATGAAAAAAAGCAGCGTTCGAGGCTTTAATAAATACGAATAAAAGGAATCAGGTTTATGACTGAAATGTCTAGTTTAAGATATTTGAAGAATGAGACTGAAATGTCCTACTCAGTAAAATATTCTGAATAATACAAGAAGATTACGAAAACTCAATAATATAACGATAGCTGTTGAAACAACATTAGGGAGGTTGGAGAATTGTACGAGGGGAGAAAAGGAGGCGGGGGGGGGGGGGGTTTAAACGGAAATTATTTACGTCCATGAGACAGAGGAAGTAAAGGTTCAAAGAGAATTAAAGGTAAAGTCTGTTGTACAATTTTGTTCCCGACCTAAAACCATTACTTTGACTCTCCAAAATTGTTTATGATGTTTTGAAAATTATTTTTTTAAGTTTGTTGAAATTTAGAAAAAAGAAAACTGCATAATTTCATCTAGACGAATAAAAGTATTTTAAAATTGCTGATGTTATGATGTGTAGACTGTAGAGCAAAATGTTTTTTTTACAAAGAAAATAACCGGTACTTTATTCCAATACTTAAGTGTATTTGATGTTATTACTAAGCAAATTGTTTAGAAATATGGACACATATTAAATTATTAACTAGGTGAAATGGGTCTGTTTACACTGCACAATGCGGTATCCCATGCTCAATGGACTATTTAAAGTCATAAATTGAGTCTAAAAGTCGTCTTTCTATTCCAGAGTTTTCTGGTTATTACTGTACATAAATTCAAAGCTCATGAAAATTACTGCAACTACCCTTTTGATCTAAAGATAATTGTAAAAGAAATTTCTAGAAATTAAAACAAAACGAAAACAATCCAATAGGAACTGAAAAGAAAGTAAGATTGTTGATAAAGAAAGAGTATGGTAGCTCAACTAGTGAGTTCTGGGTTTTATTGCCTCGAATTCAAGGTTTTTCTCCGGACCTGTGGTTTAACCCCTGCTCGCAATATACAGGTTCATCTTAATCTTGTAAAATTCATTTCATCCAGTCGTATTCTTTACTTTTTGCATTAATACATTACCGTTCTATCGAAACTATTCGGCAAAAAACTTTTTTTAAATATTCAAATATTTTTTTAAAACAGGTTATTTTGCATACATGATAAAAATGAACCTGAATTTACAGTGAATAAAGATATTCTAAACTGTTCTCTGAAAAATATTACGTTCAACCTGTCTTAAGGATATGTTTCTTTCCCCCCGAGTCTATCAGAAATACTCTTTGTTACCCTTTCAATTAAAGATATTTTTCAATCAATCTTACTAAAAACACACTAATGTACATTAAATCTTTAATTTTTCCGTCCTACCAAAATTCTTTCATTCAACCCAGATATTTAACATCCAATCCTTCCTGCTCTTTGTATTAAACTCTATCTTTATTCTAAATATTTCTGTATTTATTCATCCCTGAAATAATGTTTAAATCATCTTAGATATAATTACTCACGTAGGAAATTTATTAAAACATTTGTGCAGATTAAAGGCTGAGTTCCCAGGAAGAGGATGTAATAAAAATAGAATTTAATATCAGACCAGCCATATTATCTCTATTATATGCCTAAACGTTGCTTTAATGATACTTTTCTGCAACATTGTGCACTAGTTGGATGGTTGGAAATATTAACTTAAATTCAAACAATAGAGTTGTAATAGATAGAGTACAAGGTAGATCAGATAGATGTAAATTTTAAAAACAATTTCTCTTACTTGAGGCGCTAGTATCACTATGTATACTAGTTTGTGTTCTAATCAGCTGAAACCTGTAAAAGAAAGAAAGCATAATATTGTTTTCTCTCAGCTTTCTCCAGACTCAGTGACCCCTACGGTAGGATATTAATTAAAATGAACACATAGCAGTATGTTCTTTTGCCAAGGGGAGCTAGTACCGGTTAGCCCAGGGGGGGATGTAAACTCTATATAACTCTATTACTGGAACAAACTGACATGATGGACAAGATGAAAATACTAAATTAGTGATGAAAGCTTAAAGAGACTGTTTACGGCGATCCACGTGAGGATAAAAATTACGTGACCGATCTGATTTTAAAGTGTCGTCAGGTTTGACCGACCCACTAATGGTTTTTTGTAACCATTGATATGAATTTTTCAAAGCTGAATAGTCAGTTTTTCTAGGTTTATTTTTTTAGGAGTATTTGGCAAAATCATTTTACCCGAGATATTGCATCAAGCGTTAAAAACACCAATAAAAATGTATTTATTTTGTTCTGTATTCAGATTACGGAAAAGTAATCAACAAAAATGGTTAAATTTCTTTCTTTTCGATATCTTTTAATCTACAAATTTATTGCAAAGATTTTTTTGACATACTCAGGGTTAACCACAAAAAAAATAAAATATTAAATATTAATAAAAATAGTTTACGGACTACACCATACAATGAATTTAAGAAATAACATTCGATAACATCTCTAAGTCGTCATTGAAAGATCATTCTTTGAGGGTAACCCTGTAAATTATTGGGATTGATTGCATGCACTTTATTCATTATTGTGTTAACTTAATTACCAAACTTATGTTGCTTTAATTTATTCCTTTAAAGGATGATCAAAATTTGAAGATTTGATTAAATGAATATTTGTGGGTTGATGGTATCCCGAGGGGTGGTAAGAGATGCGCGGGGATAGTATAACGCGGGAGAACGAAATATAAAGAAAGGAAATTGTCCTTTAAAAAAGTTTTTTTTCAGATATTTGTATCTAAAAGTTATAGTTCATTTTCTTCATGAAGAATGATAAAAGGATCAGTAATTGTTCTAAAATAATGAATTTATCAAGATGGTAAGTATCCCAGGTTTCCTACCCCCCCCCCCCCCCCCCCCCCTCCATCCTGTCCGGGTGGTTTAGTGGACCCGGGGCTAGTATTATTATCTCATTATTAAATTAAACTGAAACCACACACGTTCACATCTCTCATCATCATATTATAAACTCAAGATTAAGATGATTGGAAAATGCGTCAAAAACAAAATGGCCGCCCAATGTTAAACTGTTCATAGACAATAATCCATAGAGTTCCCGCCATTTTTTCTTTGAATAGAAAATCAGCTGAAATATTTGTAACTTTGTTAACAATTCAATCATTAGTTCAATCAAAGAATTTTGCATATTTTTTGTGGTGAAATCTCAAAAATGAAAACTTTGAGATATTTTTTAGTACTTCACCAAAAGAATAAAAGCTTTTAAAGAATTACTGTAAATATGATTTATTTTGTAAATTAAGACCTCGTAACAAGATTGTTTATAATTACGTTCATGGTTGAAGTCCAAATTAACATTGTTAATTACTAACAATATATAGCTGCAGATTATCGATATATAGCTGCAGATTAACTATATTCGTTTTTCTAAATTTATAATTATACTCTGTACATAGATTCTTATATGGAAACCATCAAACATACCCAAACCCAACCATGGGGTCCAACCAAACATACCCTACCGAACCATGGGGTCCAAGCAAACGTACCCAAACCCAACCATGGGGTCCAACCAAACATACCCAAACCCAACCATGGAGTCCAAGCAAACATACCCAAACCCAGCCATGGGGTCCAACCAAACATACCCAAACCCAACAATGGTGTCCAACCAAACATACCCAAACCCGACAATGGGTCCAACCAAACATACCCAAACCCAACCATGAGATCCAACCAAACATACCCAAACCCAACCATGGTGTCCAACCAAACATACCCAAACCCAGCCATGGTGTCCAACCAAACATACCCAAACCCAACCATGGGGTCCAACCAAACAAACCCAAACCCAACCATGGTGTCCAACCAAACATACCCAAACCCAACGGTGTCCAACCAAACATACCCAAACCCAACCATGGTGTCCAACCAAACATACCCAAACCCAACCATGGTGTCCAACCAAACATACCCAAACCCAACCATGGGGTCCAACCAAACACACCCAAACCCAACCATGGTGTCCAACCAAACATACCCAAACCCAACCATGGTGTCCAACCAAACACACCCAAACCCAACCATGGGGTCCCACCAAACATACCCAAACCCAACAATGGTGTCCAACCAAACATACCCAAACCCAAACCCTAGAAATAAAAACTGACTACTCGCCTCAAACTCTAATCATATCACCCATAAATCTTGACAACCTACTTCGATATATCAAACTGTGGCTGTTTGATCTAACAGAGTTTATAGTTTCAAATATCAATGATTCACCACTACCACTGTTCCACATCAGTTTGGATAGAACAAAAATTAGAAGAAAAAAATTTTGAAGCGAATGAAAAGTTCTTTTGTAAATCTTAGGAAATTCTTCCTTTTTTAAAATAGCAATCTCAGTAAGTATCTATCTCTATATATATCTTTATAGAGATATGTATAAGAGGGTGTCTGTATATATCTTTATTATTGTTGTTTAAGACACCCTGTGTATAGTATAGAGTACCTGGAGAGATATGTATAAGAGGGTGTCTCTATATATTTATTGTTGTTGTTTATAGAGTACCTGGAGAGATATGTATAAGAGGGTGTCTGTATATATCTTTATTGTTGTTGTTTAAGACACCCTGTGTATTGTATAGAGTACCTGGAGAGATATGTATAAGAGGGCGTCTTTATATATCTTTATTGTTGTTGTTTAAGACACCCTGTGTATAGTATAGAGTACCTGGAGAGATATGTATAAGAGGGTGTCTGTATATATCTTTATTGTTGTTGAACCTCGTGTACGATGATAAATATGGTATCAGATGTAATAACAGATTACACCTTTGGAACGTGGAGATTGAAGGAGGATGTAAAAGAAGAGAGTGTGCTCAAAATAAATCAAGGAGGATTAAAAAATAGAACGAACATAAGCTGGATCATGGATGACAAAAAATACATTTCTTATTATAGACTTAGTTAGGCTTGACTCTCGTTAATTTCATGGTGTTGAAATTCAGTTCGGGTGGTAGGATTACCCCCCCCCCCATCCTCCTCCTTCCTATTTCCCGCCTCCTCTTCCTCCTCCTCCTCCTCCTCCTCCTCCTCCTTTATCTCTATACTTGAATATGTTCCATGTCTCAATATAGTCTGTATACGCTATATCTAACCCGCTGAGATCTTTATTCTTATCAACCCAGGTTGGAGACTCATAACCTAACCTGGGTGGCGAGTTCGGTTATTATCTCCGGTTGCAAAACCGAAACTTTAACCTAGTTTATTAATATACTATAGATAGCTAGGTAGCAGTGAACTATATTAATCAGTTTATCATTCCTGTTAAAACTTATTGTGCGTCATGTGGTGGTTGCTTTATATGTAATATCTAATATTGTTTGGTTGTCTATATGAAATATCTTACATGGCTTCTTTCTCAATATGAGCTATCTAAAATTATTTGTTTGTCTGTAATAATTATCTAAAATTGCTTGTTTGTCTATATATATTATCTAACATTGCTTGTTTGTCTATATATATTATCTAACATTGCTTGTTTGTCTATATATACTATCTAACATTGCTTGTTTGTCTATATGTATTTTGCTTGTTTGTCTATATGTATTATCTAACATTGGTTGTTTGTCTATATATATTATCTAACATTGCTTGTTTGTCTATATGTATTATCTAACATTATGTGTTTGTCTATATGTACTATCTAACATTGCGTGTTATATGTCTATATATACTGTCTAACATTGCTTGTTTGTCTATATGTCCTATCTAACATTGCTTGTTATATGTCTATATATACTGTCGAACATTGCTTGTTTGTCTATATGTACTATCTAACATTGCTTGTGATATGTCTATATATACTGTCGAACATTGCTTGTTTGTCTATATGTACTATCTAAAATTGCTTGTTTGTCCATATATACTGTCTAAAATTGCTTGTTTCTCTATATGTAATGTCTATCATTGCTTTTTTGTCTATATGTACTGTCTTACATTGCTTCTCTGTACTGTCTATTATTTCTTTAAATTGTTTATGTACTGTATGCACAAACTGTATGAATCCCAAGAGTTATGTAGAAGCTGAGTGGTAAATCAATCTATGTTTTGTTGGTTTATTGTTGGGTTTGGTTTAGGTAGGATAGGAGAGGGTTGAGAGAGATCAATTCTAACATGCAATCACACTATTAACCCTTAACCAGCAATCAATTCAAACAGTTTTAAAGATTCTACGGACCTACATTGATCCTAGATCCCATAGATCCTAGATCCCATATATTCTAGATCCTACAGATCCTAGATCCTATAGATCCTAAATCCTAGAGATCCTATAGATCCTAGATCCAATAGATCCTAGATTATTTTCAAACTCTCTGATGGAGCAAAGAATGCACAAGATTAGTTTTATTACCAGAAATTCTAAGTTTAAACCCAGCCATATATTTATCTTGAGCTAATGATGAATTATATATTCAAGATCATATCATATTGATAATTAAACCAGTAGATAATGATGCACTCATTATACGCACCAAACCTAGCTCAATAAACTAAACTAGACTAAACTAAACTAAGCTAAACTAAACTAAACTAAACTAAACTAAACTAAACTAAACTAAACTAAACTAAACTAAACTAAACTAAACTAAACTAAGCTAAACTAAACTAAACTAAACTAAACTAAACTAAACTAAACTAAACTAAACTAAACTAAACTAAACTAAACTAAACTAAACTAAACTAAACTAAACTAAACTAAACTAAACTAAACTAAACTAAACTAAACTAAACTAAACTAAACTAAACTAAACTAAACTAAACTAAACTAAACTAAACTAAACTAAACTAAACTAAACTAAACTAAACTAAACTAAACTAAACTAAACTAAACTAAACTAAACTAAACTAAACTAAACTAAACTAAACTAAACTAAACTAAACTAAACTAAACTAAACTAAACTAAACTAAACTAAACTAAACTAAACTAAACTAAACTAAACTAAACTAAACTAAACTAAACTAAACTAAACTAAACTAAACTAAACTAAACTAAACTAAACTAAACTAAACTAAACTAAACTAAACTAAACTAAACTAAACTAAACTAAACTAAACTAAACTAAACTAAACTAAACTAAACTAAACTAAACTAAACTAAACTAAACTAAACTAAACTAAACTAAACTAAACTAAACTAAACTAAACTAAACTAAACTAAACTAAACTAAACTAAACTAAACTNTGTCAAGTAGTATATAAGCTACTAGTCCCGGAATTTGTAAATCATAATAATTTAAATGATTGTTTATTCATTGCTCTGAATTATGAGTGAGAATGAATGGCTTGTATACTGCTGAGAGATGAAGGATGAGGGATGAATGAAATCAATGATAAATCATCCAACTTCCATTATTTCAATGGGCAAATTCAGGCAGGGGCACCGCGGGATGCATACCAAGGGGGGGAAGGAAGGGGGGCGGTATGTTTGTTTAACATGCAGGGGTAAGGGGTATAATATAATTAAATAACGTCCCCTCGTTAAGTCTCTAAACACCCCTAGAATATGAAAGTTGGATAAATAATCAATAAGGAACAAATAATAATAATAATAATGATAATCAAATGTATGAACAATCATTAAATTTAATGATTTTCTTGTTCGATAGATTTTAAGATATGAATTACTAATTATTTTTCCTTCATTCAATGATTGTACAATATGGATTTAATAAAACATAAGATATGGAAAATAGATTCAATAAAGAATAAATGGAATAAAAAAGGGATGTTTTTAAAGGCTAGATGCAGTAGTAAAGTACGGAGAANGCTGAAGATAATTAAGTTCCTCTATTTATCTGTAATAATGTTCCAACATCTGATCAACATAAATATTAAACTCTGATCAAGCCACCTGATAATATCTAATATGCTTTTCATACCCTTCTAATCGAACACATTGATCACAGGGGTTGAGAAGTGTGGATTTTAACGTAAATTATCCACACCTTAGAAAAATTACCATTTTGATTTTTTAATTAAAAATGGATTTTGAAATTTTTGTCCGGGTTCTGCCTGTGATTAAGCATCTCATGATAAGAATGAATAAAATCTGTCTTCAGCTACCGATACCTCAAACCTACAAAACCAAACTATAAAAAGGAGGTTTCTTATACTCAATAGAAAACCCATTAGCAGGCAATTTAAAGTAGTTTAAGTATTATTCAAGGTCAATTGAAGCAAAATAGAAGGTTCGGACGAGAGATACCTGCTTCTCTAAAGGGTTTAGACGAGAGATAACTGCATCTTTAAAGGCTTCGGACGAGAGATAACTGCTTTTTTAAAGGATTCGGACAAGAGATAACTGCATATTAAAAGGGTTCTGACGAGAGATAACTGCATCTTTAAAGGGATTGGACCAGAGATAACTGCATCTTTAAAGGCTTCGGATGAGAGATAACTGCTTCTGTAAAGGATTCGGACAAGAGATAACTGCATATTAAAAGGGTTCTGACGAGAGATAACTGCATCTTTAAAGGCTTCGGACGAGAGATAACTGCTTTTTTAAAGGATTCGGACAAGAGATAACTGCATATTAAAAGGGTTCTGACGAGAGATAACTGCATCTTTAAAGGGATTGGACCAGAGATAACTGCATCTTTAAAGGCTTCGGATGAGAGATAACTGCTTCTGTAAAGGATTCGGACAAGAGATAACTGCATATTAAAAGGGTTCTGACGAGAGATAACTGCATCTTTAAAGGCTTCGGACGAGAGATAACTGCTTTTTTAAAGGATTCGGACAAGAGATAACTGCATATTAAAAGGGTTCTGACGAGAGATAACTGCATCTTTAAAGGGATTGGACCAGAGATAACAGCTAGTTTGAAGAGTTAGGACGAGACGAGATATAAATGCTTCTTTAAAGGGTTAGGACGAGAAATAACAGTTTTTTTAAAGAGTTAGGACGAGAGATAACTGAAATTTTAAAGGATTGGGACGAGAGATAAATGCTTCTTTAAAGGGTTCAGACGAGAAATAACAGATTCCTTAAAGGGTTAGGACGAAAGATACCAGCTTCT